AGTCAAAGGACACAGCATTTCCCCTTCAGTGACCTCTGAAATTCCTGGCTGTCTTCACTCAAGTCTCCTGTGTTTGTTGTGTCTTGACATTCTAACTGCACCGGAGCCTGGGTTCTCACCTAAGGAGGGTGATGCTCAGAAGCCCTGGAGGTACTGCTGTTTGTGTTGCCTTTTCTCCCACCACGTCCCCAGCGTGGCCCCGGAAGCAGTGCTAGGTGTCTTCACTGCTCTGTGCTTTTTCTAGACCTGCTCTGCTCATGGCTGAAGTGACTAGCCACCTGGGCACTTAGTGGAGCTTGGAGATGTGCCATCAGGTAAAATACATTGTAGATGTTGGGGACGACTGAATCTCATTATTATTTTTCCATCGATTCCATGGTAAAATGCTGATATTTACATCCTTCACATTAAAATATGTCAAAATTAATCTTGTTTTTTTTCATTTTTCTTCTTTAAATGTAGCTGATTTTAAAATCCCCATGTGGCTTTCATTTTATGTCCTTTGGAAAGCACTCTTCCATTCTTCTCCACTAACACTCTCTCGAGTCTGAAGCTCCTGTTGTCAGATTCTTTCATCCTTATTGCTCGCTCCTGGAGTCCTCGTTGTCATAGTTTTGGCCACCTGCCTCCTGTCTTGGGAGGTTGACTGCTAAGTCATCAACACTTTTTTTAGTACCGTCTTAATTCATGGTAAATTCTGTGTGCATTCAGATATACCTTCTGATACATCTACTTCTGGTTTTCTTACGTGCCTCCCTTGGTTATCTTGTTTACCTCTTTACTTCAGTTGCTCAATTCTATGTACATTTCTTAACCTTGTCCATCATAAGATTTTAAAACCTCTGCCCCAGTGTCTTGGGCCCTGGCTGCAGAACTTCCTCATGTTCCCCAGCACGGGGGTCCCCTGGCCAGGCTCTGGAGCCCTTGTTTCTCTCATTCCTTTGTTCAGCACACATTCTCTGGTCACCTGTTGTGTTCCATGCTTCAGTCAAGGCACTGGAGATAGGAAACCTTTTCCTTCACATTATGTATCATCTAACTGGGGTGACAGTAGGTCAAAGGTGATAAGTAAAATATTTGGCATGGGGTTCAAGAGGTGCTAGGGAAAAAAATCTAAAGCTAAAAATGGCAATATGAACTGTTGGTCATGAAGGAGGGGAACTTTTAGGTGGATGGCCAATGAAGGAAGTAAAGAAGCCAGCCAAGGGGATATCTGGGGATAATGCACTCCAGACAGAAATCAAGTACCGTACCGAGTCCTTGAAGTAGGAGGGACTGGTGTCTTCAAGAACTAGAAGAAATGAAAATATGGCTGAAGCAGAGAGGAAAAGAAAAAGCGAAACAGACGGTGAGGTCAGAGAGGTAACTAGATATCAAATCCTGCAGGGCTTTGTAGATTCTAGTGAAATCTGGAAAACTGCCGTGTACAATAGCACATACGTGCAATTCCAGCAGTTCAGGAGGCTGAGGGAGGAGAATCGCAAGTTCAAGGCCAGCCTCAGCCACTCAGCAAGGTTCTAAGCAACTTAGGGAGACCTTGTCTCGAAATAAAAAGGGATGGAGATGTGGTTCAGTGCTTAAGGACCCCTGCGTTCAATCCTCAGTACAAAAGAAAAAGGGAAAAAGGAGTATTGTAAAGCTGTTGAGGGATGTTGAGCAGAAGAATGTTGTAATGTGTTCACATTTTAACAGGATTATTTTGAAACTGCAGTAAGACCAGTTTGTGAGTGAGCCAAGGCAGAAGCAGAAGGACCTGCTGGTGGCTATCATGGCAATCCTGTGAGACGCACGGGCCTCACACACCCGGTCATGTTTCGGTGGCTTGATCACAGTTGTGATGAGGTCACGGAGAGTGAGAAGTAGACATTCTGGATACATCTCAAAAATGGAGCTGTGGCAGTTTCTTGAGGGAATAATAAAGATGTGGAAGGAAGCAGGTCCAGGAAGACTGGGATCCCATGTGTAGCCATGATAAGAGCAGCTGAAGTGAGGAAGATATCGCTTATCCACCTTGAAGTCCCTGATGGACGATGTCCAGGTGCAGATGTTAAGTGAGCAGTTAGCATTCTTGAAATTCAGGAGAGAATCGTCTAAACCGAGCACTCACATTTTTCTGATTTTTCTTACTTGCTGTAAATTTCTTGTTCAGTTGCCACTAGCGTCCTGAAGCTTTTTGATAATGCCTGGGGCCATGTGACTTCTCCCTGCCTCTAGTTCATTCTTTGAAGCATCTCCTCCCACACCTGGCCCCAGTGCCCCTGTGTGCTTAAGTCCCTCAACCTTTTTGGGGTTCTTGCCGCCACTTTTACGTCTTTCCAATGCAGCCTGTCCCTCATTCTAAGCTGAAGCACCCTCTCCACCAGCATTTTTTATTTCCCTGTCTCTATTATGTTTCTTCTACCACTTTTTCCACATTCCAAATAATGTGCCTATTTTTTATTTTTAGGAGTGTACATTGTCCTTCATCTGAATGTTGATCCAGTGAAGCAAGGGACTTTCATTTTCTCACTAATATATCCCAGCACGTGACAAATAATCACTAAGTATTTGTTGGGTTTTTCCAATCTGTCATTAGCTTACAAATGAAACTTATGAATTCATCCAACATGTGTATGAGGTAATAAATGTGATATACTGACTTTTAAAAAGCTACTAACTATTGGGACCCTTGCCAAGTAGGGAGGTATTTTGTAGGAATTAGATGGTGTTTACACAGCCTAATTAATAATTAGCTTTTTGCCTCTCTGGTTATTTATCTTCAATGTTTTTTCCTGAGTTTTTATATGCTTAGGGGAGCTCAGTAAATACCTGTTGTGTATGCCCATGCAAACGCAGTGCTAGAGTCCGGATTCTTGTGCTTCCTCCAGAAGGAGAGACACATAAGAATAGCAAAGATTATAACAAAGCATGACTGGTGACATTAGAAGTGAATGTGGAAATACAAGCTTTGGCTCCACCTAGAAAAGGCACTCATGCCATCCACAATGGCCTATTTTCTCTGGAAGGCCCTGTCCCAATGGCATTAACTGTCTCAGAGATATCAATCTTGCTTTGTAAAAACCTATGCAAATATGCAGGGGTGATGTCTGTCCTCTCTCCTCCTTCTCTGTGAATCCTGGGTCCCACTTGCAGCTAGGACTAGACAATGGCAGAAATGGTGGGTGCAACCCCTCCCCCACCCCACCTGCAGCTTGCATTGATCCGCTAATGTTTTTAATCAATCTTGCTAAATACTTCCTGTAGGGAAAATGAGTAGTGATGAGAAGTAATCTTGCTGCTCCTTTCTTCTGAAAAATTCAGTGACTGATTTACAGATATTGCTTATTCATCATGATATCCTGTTGTAGAAGATGGGGGAATTAAATTTCAGCCTTAAAGGTTATGGGATCCCTCAAGGCCCAGAGTGTAGTAATGAAAAATTGAGAACCTGGAAGAGGGATTCCAGTATCTGCATAGTGAATAAACTTCTATCAGACCTTGCTTCTGATGTGAATTTAGGATTATGTGGATATGAATATGCCAATGTTCTTTTCATTGGAGCCTTAAAACTGTCTCCATATTTCACGTACAACTTCTTTTGTTTCATTTCTCTTCAATTTAAAGCAAATTCTGTGATTTTCCTGAGGTCATGTGGGGTTCTGGGTCCTTCTCAACTGCACTAGAGGATGCTTCCCAGAAAGACCTCCTCTGAGATGCTACCACTTGGTACCCTGGATAGAAGCCTTTGGCAAATCTAATTCCTTACAAGTTATCTCTTTCCTCTGAAGACTCAGGGGTCCCTGTCTTTACCTATTATTTCAGATTAATACATGTTTCCTAAGGTACGTGGTCACATGTTTCCTAGGGTACATGGTCCTTTTGGGGCCCCAAATCTAATTCTTGGAGTAGTAGAAAAGTCTCTCCAAAGATCATAATACTCCTATAGATGTATGATTTGCCTATATTAAAATAGTCTAGCTTAGACACAAACCCACCTTATCCAAAGTAGTAATTCCCGTTCTCCCTTACTCTCTGATATGTTCAGAAATAGTAAATCCATTCCAAGTTTCATGGTTCCATCATGTATTGTGTGTTTAATGTTTTCATTAATCTTGTAATGATCCCACAGTGTGGTGGTGACTCTGATTCTTCCCCAGGTCAGCAAGTCTTTTGTTGCAGTCTCTTCGTCTATTAATTCATCAAACTCTTGAGCATCTTTTAATGTGTTAGGCACCATCAGGTCACAAGAGCTAGAGCCATTGAATGAACAAACAAACAAAAAACTAAAATAAAATAAAAATCCAATCAACCAACCTCATATCCTTCGGATTCTGGAGCTAATACATTATTTATGCCCCTAGGAATTACACATTGGGGTACCATTGGTACATCAGGGTTGGACTACATTTTATCTTAGTTTTTTCTTTAATGTACTCTTTCAGAACTGAAAACTCAAAGACTCTTTGTTTTTGAGCAAATTTTATTTTATAACAGAATTATTATTATTGTCAGTTTCTATATTATATAAGGTTTTCCTAAAATATTTTAATTAAGTTCTAATCCTCCATCTTTCTTGAGCAATATAGCAGTTTGGGCCTGAGAATATAGCTTAGTGTTAGAGTACTTGCCTAGCAAGCTCCAGGCCCTCGGATACCTCCCTAACTTTCTCAAACCCCCATCTCCCCCCAACCCCCCTGCAAAAAAAGAAAACAAAACATCCCCTTTGACTGTGCTAAGTCAAAGACACCCACCTGAAAGGAATGCACAAATGGATCCTTAAGGGGAGAGTGAGCTAGTTTTCTAGGTGAATAGGCACTTGGGAAAGACTTCGAGTTGGTTGTCAAGAGTTCTTCTTGATACCCAGCTCTGCCACTCTCCAGTTATGTGAGCTCGATGAAGCGCATGAATTCTTCCATCTGAATAAGTAGCCTAGAGTATTGAAAGCTTCGTTCAGGGTTTAATGCCACTTGGTTATTTAATTTCTTTAAACATGTGACTTCCCACTTCACCTGCTTACCTAGGTGGACGTGATCGTGACACTGGGAGGCCTTGCTGGGCGTTTTGACCAGATCATGGCGTCTGTGAACACCCTGTTCCAAGCCACTCACATCACGCCTCTGCCAGTTATCATGATCCAAGAGGAGTCTCTCATCTACCTTCTCCAGCCAGTAAGTGAAAAAGTAAATAAAACAGTACTTCCTTCCATAAAACATCTAGCATTCTAGAAGATGCGGAGAACCTTGGCCTCGCTGTCTTTTGACTCTGAAGTACACTGTTTGCTTATTTGTAGCTGCTTTCCTCTGTGGCCCCAAGTCCCTGCCTAGCACCAAGGCAGAGAAATCTCCAAGTTTACATTTTATTGCAGCCAGAAGAAAAAGAAAATCTTGTAACTTTTAATTAAATTGAGTAAGAATTAAATTTAGCACGTTTGCATTTAGAACAGTTGAATGTGAATGACACTTGAGAAAACCTTCAACACAAGGGAAACACAAGACTTGGCAAATATATCAAATGGAATTCTCATATATTTTGAATTTTGTCCTTGTAATTGGAAACTGGATTTGATTTTGTTAAGTACTTGAAAGCAAATGTTTAGCTTTTACTACTCCTAAGTTGCCTGATAATTAATTTTACTCCTTAAAGCAAATCTTTAACAATGATGTCATTTTTATCCAATGATAAGTATCAGGAAAATTTCTATCAATGTAGGGCATAGAATAGAATTCTTTGTAAATTTGTAAAAAAAATTCTAAATAAACAAATTTTATAAGGTTTATTGGTAGATTTTAGTTAAAAAGAAATCAGCAGCTGGGTGCAGTGGTACACACCTATAATCCCTGTGGCTCAGGAGGCTGAGGCAGGAAGATTGCAAGTTCAAAGCCAACCTCAGCTATGGGGAGGGGTCCATCATTTTGTTAGGGGATACTTCTTCCTGCTCAGGAGGATGTAAGCCACCTAAGAAATTAAAGTCTAGAATAATAATGAAGAACAAAAGACAAAGTCAGAAAGATTTCTTCAAAAGAGGGAGCCCTTGATAAATCCAGTGGTTTATTAAGGGCATACATTAAAGACAGGGATAAGATTTAAGGAGTGGAGTCTTGCTTCATGATGCCTTGCCGTCAGCAGGTTGATTGGCATTTTGGCAGATCACACCCATCTCAGAGGGGCTGTGCAGCCTCAGCAGGTCACCCCATCTCCAGTGCTGTGTGGGACCTTTGGCAGAGCTTGAATAGGGCTCAGAGTGTATCTGGGCAGTAAGCCAGAGGAGATGACCACTAGAAGTTCCTAGACACCAGATTCTCCTATTCATTAGGCTGCCATGTGCGATGTAGTCTGCACACGGCCCATAGATGGTTCTTGACATTCAGCAACCTAGCACAGCCCTAAGTAACTTAGTGAGACTCTGTCTCAAAATAAAAAATAAAAAGGGCTGGTATGTGGCTCAGGGGTTAAGTGCCCCTAGATTCAATCCTTGGTACCAAAATATACATATACATATGTATATTTTATTTATATAAATATAAGATAGTGGGCAGTTGTTTTCTTTTTTGCTGTATGGACCATTGTGAAAATTTGTTGTTTAATATAGCTAGTCAAATGTATACTGAGTATTGTTGAGCAAGTTTTATCCCTTTTTTTTTTTGTTTTACCCTTTTTTTTTTTTGTTTTTAAATCTTTTTCTGGCTCTTTATATCACCTGGACTTGGTGCTTCCTAGGAAAATGTGGAAGAGGAGCTGAGGAATTCAGATCTCAAACTCCATATTCTTTCTTTACTTAGCAATTATATAGCACCTGCTACATTAGGATTGGTCATACATTTGATCTCTAGTTCCTGTCTAGTGGACGAGACATTTATAAAAATGTATTCATAACTGGGTTAGCTTTCTGTTACTATAACAAATACTGAGGTGATCAAGTTATAAGGAGGAAAGGCTTACCTGGCCCACAGTCTTCCCGAGGCTTTAGTTTGTGATCATTGGCTCTTCTCTGTTGCCTTGGCTGGTGGCAGAACATCGTGGTGGGGGAATATAGTGGAATAAAACCACGCATCTCGTGGCCAAGTCATGAAAAAAGAAAATAAGAAAGCGGCAGGTTCCCACTACCCTTTGAGATCATGCCTGATGACCTGAGACCTCCCTTGGCCCCACCTCCCATAGTACCACTCTGGGGCCCCAGCCGTTATCACATGGACCTGTGGGGGACTCTGAAGATCCGAATGATAGCAATAATGCCATTAAGAGCTTAGTGCAAAAAGATGATGAGAGAACAAATAATTTGGGCATGGGTAGTAAGGAAAAGCTTTGCACAGACACACACGGTTTAGTCTCTCAATTAGTGCAACAAATATTTGTTGAATATCTTCTATTTGCCAGGCTCCTTTCTGGGGATAAGAAATCAACAAAACAGACAAAAACCTTTGTTTTCTTGGAACATACATTCTCCTGAACTTACATTTGAACAGAATCTTCATGGGAAAGACATTAGCTGCCAGTAAGGAAAGGTGGAGGTGCAAACGTGGGGGTCTTCAGAACAGTGGTCCACGGATGCTGTTCATTGTTATTGAGAATTACAGTCACAGTCAGGATAGGCTGATGGAACATTACAGAATTAACCCGAAACCGTTTTAAGTATTGTGCAGCAAAGATGAGTACAGTCTGATGTGTCTAATGACAAAGAATGACACTAAAAATTCTTAACTTTATTTGAATCAACACTAACATCTCACTGTTGGGTAGGAAGATATTTGAGGTTTTTACAAGCTGGAGCACATTTGAACTTCATAGCAATACTGTGAGGAAAGCAGGACAGGTAATAAAGGTTTTGCCTCAACACTTTTTCCACGCCACTACATTTCTTCTTTCATGGGGTTAATGGACTTAAATACAAATGACAAGCTCTTAAAACAAGTCACAGCCCATAGGCTGGTAATTTTCCATAAGCAGTGTTTACCTGAGTGGCCAGCGGTGTGTGCATGTGAAAATATGTACATAAATATTTGTACATTTATGTATACATACACACATATAGAAATTTTTTTCCTACAAAGTCTTTTTCAAATAAGATAGAACTTGGGTTCACTTTAAACATACATTCCACCTTACTGCTGTACCTCTAAATTAAAGAAAAATGCTAAACTATAAAATGTCTTCCTAGGACAACAATTTTATTTTATAAAGAAATTAAATGAATTTCCATTGAGATTTGTTAACATACATTAAAATGGTAAAATTCAATATAAATGTTAATTATCGTGAATGTTAGTTTTGAGAAAATTGCTTTCTAAAATTTTCTTTACAACTATAAATTATCTGACATAAAAGATAGCAGGAGGAATAAGTTCTCTATGGGAGCTCTTTGTTTTGAAAACATTTTACCACTGCAAGAGAATTATTGTTGATTCTGCCATATTGACATTAATTGGCCAGGATGTTCCTTGACCCTAGAACTAAAATGTGCTTCTCTTGATCTTACCCTCAAGTCTTCTTAGTGATGACTGTGATGTTCTGTGCTTCTTTTGGAGAGTCTACATGTGAGACTGTCATGTGACTAGAATGTATAAATAAGTAATGATTGTTCATTGATTAGAGTTATGTTAGGCATTTGGGACTGAGCCTTATATCTAGAAGCAGTTCACTGAAATTTGTTTAGTGTGTTCCAGTCTAGTCTACAGTCTCCTTTTGATCCCCTTTGGTGATTTATTTTTATTTATGATAAGTTGGATTTTAAAACAAAGTCATGGAAGTATACCTCTGCATCTATATGAATATGCTTGGGTTATAAGCATATAAATTTTTATATTGTATTTTAGAAGATGTCAATTACTACAGGTCAAAATATCTACGATTGCAAACCTTAGCATGTATTTTCTTTGAAGGAAATATTCAATCTGCCATCTAGAAATGAAAGTTTAAAATAGGATGCATAATATTTCCTCCCTCAAAAGTAAGCCTCCCTCTTTTACTTCCAAAAAAAAAAAAAATGTGTTCTTGGTAAGATACCGTCACCCTCTGTGAGCAGGAGAGCTCTCGAAAAAGGAGATGCCCCAACATGAAGCTTCACTGATGTCCGTGACCCATTGGACCCTGTTCCCTCAGAAGACAGGCAGCGCTCTGGGCTGTGTTTATCCTGCTGCCTGTGCAGGCTGTGGGTGGCCCCAGGTTTCACATACACACTTTCTCATTTTCTGGTTCTGTGCTTCCGAGGAGCACAGAAACATGAGCTTCTGTACACTGAGCATAAATTATCTTTTATCTCCAAGTTTTATGACAGTTTATAATACAAGTTAATAGGATTTATGACCAAGAAATGAGATGTCCCGGAGTTAATAAGGCGTGCCTTTTACATTACCCCAAACCTTGTTCAGTGATTCCTAATCAGGATTCCAGGACCGGATGTGGAGCTGGTGTTACAGAGCAGACTTCTGTCAGTCTTTATCTCAGTTGAGCAAACTTCTAAATGTGTTGTAAATATGCCTTCCTTGTGATCTCAGTTATGTTTTACTGCCACTTGCTTTCTCTCATCAGATTAATTATTTGCTGGATGAAGCCTGCCCTTTTATATATTATATGTTTGTCATACTGGCAGTGAATAGGATAAGAAGGTATTCATCGTCTGAGTGAAGCTGAATATTCATGACGCAGATTTGACATGTGTGATGTTTCTGCTGAGAGCTCAAGTCCTGGGTCCCTGTACCAATCCATACCCATGTCAAGCAGTCTTGTCTGTGACAGCCTCCAAGAAGTGAATCTCAGCATGATTTGAAATGGGGGCAGAGACAACTCTGAAATCTTCTATTTGTTGTCATATTTGAATTCCTTTCTTTGGAAAATTTTATTTTTTTTAAAATTCTTCCCTCTCTCTTCTATAACTTTTGTCATTGGCTTGTCCTTATACTCAGATATAAATTTTATGGCAGCAAAGAACTAATAGTCTAAGCAGTATTGAAAAGATCAYTTTATATATAGGAATTTGCAGAGAATCTTATGAGATCTGCCCAAGGATATTTATAGTAATTCTTTGAAGGAAAATTGGTGCTGATATCAGAGACACATACGTGCATATCCTTGTTGCTGCAGTATTCATTGTTGCTGACACATAGTGCCATCAATGAAAGAAGGGATAACACAGATGTGGGACATAGACACCTTAGAATTTATTCAGCCATTA